TCCTCCTCCTAATCCAATGACGGGTATGGGTGGAGCAGGATTGATGGGAATGGGATTTCCTCCGCCGCAAATGATGAGGATGGGTGGACCAGGAATGCCAGGATTGGTACCTAGCGGGCAAGGAAAGCCTGGAAATGAGGACTCCTCTCCCAATGTTCCGAAGTGATAAACACGTTAATCCCGTTTTTCATTACCACTTATGCGTACAGATGGCGTCTCTTTGCTCGGTGTCTTAGGAAATAAAAGGTAGATCAATCTGTTATGCCGCTAATGAATGAAGTTGTATTAACGTGTAAACCATATGACACTAATCATTCCTAAGTCCTTAAACGGAAGACATCCAAGTCTTGGTGCAAAACAGATATGCGACGTAAGCGCGTAATGTCTAAGTGAACGGCAGCTGTTTTAGCCCTCGAAGTACTGGATCGGTCCGAAAGTTCGTGCCATTTCCCAGACCTATCCTCAAGTCATTCAGAATAATGATAAAACGATTAAACTAGTGTTCAGTGCAGATTTTTTTTATTAATAGTAAAATTTCTGTCCTGAGTAATCTGATTATTGTCCAGACGACCGTCAAAATCTCGAACCCTATTTCTTGTCTGCCTTAACTCATTTTGATCTATTTTACAGCATAATATAGGTACAAAACGATGAAATACTGAGGCCTCTCCAACTAACTGTTCACTATTTTTCGAAACAATCTTTCCGAAAGTCGCTTTGATTTCTCTCAGTACAGCTTAGGTGCGTTCAAATACAAACATTACGATAATCCTACCCTCGAACTATCCAAAGAAAAACACGCGCAGAAAGAAGAGAAAAAGCTGCAGTGATAGGCACCCTTATTGCTCACCGTTTGAAGTACTATGAGGTTTGAGGTGCACAAATATGGAATTGGTACCATGGCCAAATTATTTTGTATTTTGAAAAAGCTAGCTGTAGATACCAGAAGCAACGTATTGCACTGCATTTTGTTTCTCTATATGGCCGTTGTTGAAGCTCTTCCAGTGTGATATTCAAAAAAAACCTCTAAGATTAGGGCAGGTAAAAATCATGCGTTGGAGACTCTAACGACTATTTAAGCGATCAGCAAAAGACTCGGAAAAAA